CATAGCACCACAACATCCGCACCCCTAGCACACAAAACCTCTGTAACCCCCTCTCCCAGCGCCCCGTGGCTCCCCCCATCCCCATCGTACCCGACACACTCGGCGACGTGCCGCATGGATTCCTGGGAGACGAAGACGTGGCAGGCGAAGCGGCTCAGCACCGGGTGCTTGGTGATGAACCCGAAATAGCTGTGGGGGGGAGCAGGGTGAGGGGAGGGGGGACACCCCACTCCTTCCCCTGTGGGGGGCTCTGTGGAGGGGACACCCCCTGGGACCGTGGGGCTGGGGCAGCCACAACAGGATGGGGACCAAGCAGAGGGACCTGGTGTGGCACCACAGGGGTGTGGGTGCCCCGGGTAGGGGATGGGGGAGATCCCTTGGGGCTGGAAATGCTAGGGGGCTGTGGGAGGACCTGGGGGGGGGTCTCACCAGCTGTTGCGGGGGTGGCACCCACAGAAGGAGATGTTCTTCATCTGGAAGAAGTGGCTGCAGCGCTCGAACTGGAAGAGGAGAAGGAGATGGAGACGGAGATGGAGATGGAGGAGGAGAAGAGATCCGAGGTGTGGGTGTCTGGCTCATGGCAGGGCAGCCACCTGCACCCACCACCACCTCGGGGGGCCTCACAGGACCCCCTCTCCCACAGCTCTCCCCCTCCCTGCCCCGTGCCCCTCACCTCCTCGTCCCGGCTGTACTCGGTGACGGTGAGGATGAGCTTGATGCCCTGCAGCGTGATCTCCAGGTCGCAGCTGGCCGGCGGGCGCAGGTGTACCGTCAGCTTCCTGGTGGTGGCAATCTGGGGGGGCACGGAGTGGAATCATGACATGGGGGGGTCACGTCAGCATGGGGAGGAGGGGGGGGCATGCCACCAGCCCCCTGCCGCAGGCTCACCTTCTGCATGGCGGCGCAGAGGATGCCGTTGCCCTGGTGGTAGGGAACCTCCACCGAGCCCAGGAACTGCACGTTGAACCGCTCCACCCAGCACGGGTTCCTCTTCAGGCCTGTGGGGAGAGGGGACAAGGAGATGCCGCCCTGAGCCCCCCACAACCCCCAACACCCCCCCCCGCCCTGGGGACCCCGCAGGCTCCTACCGATGGCGTCCCGGGCTTGGCCGACCACCTCATGGGCGTAGAAGGCGGGGAAGATGCCCCTCTCCCCCGTCCGCATGTTGTAGCCCCGGTACCAGTAGTCATCCTCCTCCAGCTCCACCAGGATGGGGTCGTCCACGTCCAGCTCCAGCTCGTCCTGGTCTCACCAGCTGTTGCGGGGGTGGCACCCACAGAAGGAGATGTTCTTCATCTGGAAGAAGTGGCTGCAGCGCTCGAACTGGAAGAGGAGAAGGAGATGGAGACGGAGATGGAGATGGAGGAGGAGAAGAGATCCGAGGTGTGGGTGTCTGGCTCATGGCAGGGCAGCCACCTGCACCCACCACCACCTCGGGGGGCCTCACAGGACCCCCTCTCCCACAGCTCTCCCCCTCCCTGCCCCGTGCCCCTCACCTCCTCGTCCCGGCTGTACTCGGTGACGGTGAGGATGAGCTTGATGCCCTGCAGCGTGATCTCCAGGTCGCAGCTGGCCGGCGGGCGCAGGTGTACCGTCAGCTTCCTGGTGGTGGCAATCTGGGGGGGCACGGAGTGGAATCATGACATGGGGGGGTCACGTCAGCATGGGGAGGAGGGGGGGGCATGCCACCAGCCCCCTGCCGCAGGCTCACCTTCTGCATGGCGGCGCAGAGGATGCCGTTGCCCTGGTGGTAGGGAACCTCCACCGAGCCCAGGAACTGCACGTTGAACCGCTCCACCCAGCACGGGTTCCTCTTCAGGCCTGTGGGGAGAGGGGACAAGGAGATGCCGCCCTGAGCCCCCCACAACCCCCAACACCCCCCCCCGCCCTGGGGACCCCGCAGGCTCCTACCGATGGCGTCCCGGGCTTGGCCGACCACCTCATGGGCGTAGAAGGCGGGGAAGATGCCCCTCTCCCCCGTCCGCATGTTGTAGCCCCGGTACCAGTAGTCATCCTCCTCCAGCTCCACCAGGATGGGGTCGTCCACGTCCAGCTCCAGCTCGTCCTCGTGGCGGGGGATGAACCTGGGGGGCGACGCGGGATGGAGGAGGTGGGCAGGGAGGGGCAGAGCCATGGGAGAGGGGGTCCTGCGAGACCCCCCCAAGGTGCCCGTGGGCAGGGCTGGGCTGGCTCTCCACCGAGCCCAGGAACTGCACGTTGAACCGCTCCACCCAGCACGGGTTCCTCTTCAGGCCTGTGGGGAGAGGGGACAAGGAGATGCCGCCCTGAGCCCCCCACAACCCCCAACACCC